TATTCATGTTATAGACATCAGAATTTAATTTCAGTTTATCTTTGTTGTAAACAACAAATAAGAGAAGCGATAATATGTATTGCGATTGAAGCGGTAGAATTTTTAATTTCTTAAATAATTCTCTACATGAATCTCTACTTCATATTCTGCACATAGTAAAGATTCCTCTGTAGCAGTTAATAGTTTTTATCACCTTCTTACCTGTAAATTTATCACAGAACTTCTAGTGCCTGAAAAACACTTTTATGACGTAGTCTGTCATTACATACAGCGAACTACTCAAAACAGATATATTATACTCTTTTACCTGTACTATAAGAAGAATTTGAAAGTGTTAGTTCTGCTATTTTTATTCCTGTTGTTACCAATTATACAATCGGGTAACCTGTAATACAATATGTTCTAGGTTCATTAATGGTTTTCATAAATACCTGGAAAACTATCATTGAATCTCAGCTTATTTTCTGGACTGTCAATGTGATTGCACATGTCTTTGTGGCAGCACCACAGCATCTGGGACAGACTGCGACTAGAACCTGGCTGATGACACTGATCTTGACGAACTCTGCAATATACATACAGCATTTAATAAAAAATGGAAAGAAACCCTCCACCTTTGACCGCAAGATCTAATAAATACAAAGGCACTTAAAAATAATTTATCATTCTTTTGTTGTAAATTCTTCCTTCTTGGAAATCCACACATGAACTACTTGAGAATGGCAAAAGACATTACGTTCTAAATCATCTAGAACCAATTTTGAATGCAGCCAATGTTTTTTTTTAATCAGATGTGATCTGCTAATATGCACACCAACAAGCAACTAATGCATACCAGTGAACTTGTAAGGGGCAGAATGTTACACATCTCAGTGCAGAGTATATTTTGACTTTCAGTTTAAAACTGCCCTCTGGGAATTTTACTGGATTTCCCAGCCATCTAATGTAGGGACACTATGCAACACCATTAGCAACAGTATTAAGTCTTGGTAAAGTGTTCAGAAGCAAATATGTAAAAGCACTAATTTTGTTTTTAAAATCTACAGTGCTTGAGTAAATATGTAAATGTGCATCAAATTATAAAATAAATCCTTTCCATTAAAATTTTGTGTTCGGAGATTTCATGTACATACTAAATAAGTAAAAACTGCTATTCTTACCCATCTAACATCTCAAGGCATCCATGCCTTGCTTTATACACATCTGAATAATCCTCAAGATCAGAGAAACACCCTCCACCTTCTGACTTGCACATGTATCCGGTAGAAACACACGGTGGCAGGTTGCAGAAGCACCTTATATCACCTGTGAAGAAAACAGTGCAGCCATAATTACTCAGCTTATATTTACAATAGATAGGATTACCACCTTCTATACCTGAACAGTTGGAATAGACTCTTACAATATGGAATGTTCATTTTATAAACAAGTCATATCATGGCGATGTCTTCCTGGCCTGTATCCATCAGACTTCAGAAACATGAAGAGAACACAAATACAAAACTTCATTCCACAGATACAAATTCCTTGTTTAATTGAAGGAATAAATTCCTGAGAGAGCATTCATTAAACAAAATTATTTTCATATTAAGCCATGCACATGCACACACGCGCACACACATATGTGTGTGTTTCTTTTTTACTTTCTTTGTGGAATGGGCTGTGACTGAATCCTCCAACTGCATTGTCCACTAAGTGACCTACTGTGCCAGCCCCAGATGATAGATGAGTATGGAGCATTTGATGGAATTAAAATTAGCAGGGGAAACTGAGGGGCTTGGAGCAAACCTGCCCCATTGTCAATACCATGAATAATTGTAAAGGAAGAGAAATATATACTACAGCCGTACAGATGTATCTCTCATAATGAACACATAATGTGTTGCAAGTGTTGAAAAATCATAAAAACGAGCAAAATCCTGAGATAAAACTCAAATAAATGGCCATACAGGTGCTGACTGGCTGTGCAGATATGGGAGGGGCTGGAGGCAGGATATGGACCATACACAGCTTAGGGCATATTTGTTATGCATTATCATATAATAATTACAGTTGAACCCTCTCGGTTATATAATATGAGTATTAGGCCTAGAACTTTGAATTAAGCTTTTTCTGAAGTAGGTGTTTAGTGAACTGATACAAACTAATGTGAATATTGCCAGACAACTTTCTGTGTAGACCAGGAATGCAAAACGATTTTGTTTATAAGGGTATATCGCTAAAATGCTGTTTGTCTGAATATCACATAAAGATCTGATTTATTGTGTTATTTTATGATGCTATAATCAACAGCTGAAATTACAGAGAATAAAGAATAACATAATTAGGCTTAGTATATGTGATTTTTGCTAGGGGCACAGGGGGGTGAAAAGGCTGAATTGAATTTTTAAAACTTATTAAAAATGTGTGTTCAAAAAACAGAATATTTTGTTTAAAATTCAGTTTAGAAATTTTGTAAATAAAAAAAGTTCAAGGCAAACCTTGTGATGCCAACTTCCCTTCAAATTCTTGAATGTGTATTATGGTACAGTCAAATAAATCAATAATTATCCAATTTAATGATCCACTTCTGAGCAGTTTCCACTTCACAAATTCCTCTTATGTTAAATTTGCTTAATAATATCTAGAAGTTTTTCACTGTTGTCATGTTTATATTTCTTACAGTCAATATTAAAAAAAAAATGTTCATACATTATACTTTTGTATATTTGTGATCTATCTCCAAAAATATTTGCATGCCTAACTAAAATGGTTCAGTATATATCACAGCTAAACACTGGCCAATATGTCATACAGCCACTACTTGTATGTTGTTTTGCAGTCTACAAAAAGTTAACAAATTAATATACTTTAACACTTCATGAATCTACATTAATTGTTCTTAGTGTTACTCCCACCACAAAGTTATGGTTGCTTCCAGTGTCATGATATTTATATGAAATTCATTGATAATCTGCCTGCTGTATCAAATGCTATTTGTAAATTTATGCTGTGACCACTGGAAATGGGATATCAAATTTTAAATTAGATGTGATGTTTGCTATGTTTAGCAGAATTAAATATTTTCATCCGTAAGTCAGTTCTGTTTTATCAATTGTTCATATACGAAGGGCATTCGGTATATAATGCCTCCTATTTTTCTGTGTTAATATGTAACGTTTGAGCTGGATGTTGGTGGTGTTGCAGTAAAGGTTGAACCTTCCCGCCAATGTACTGTTAGTTTCGTTGTCGTGCGACAGTTAGCGACAGCAGAGCAGTTTACCAAAATGGCGTCTGACATAGAAGTGCGTACGAAACAGAGATGTTATCGAATTTCTCATTGCCGAAAAAATTGCACCCACTGACATCCATCGACGCTTGCTAAAGGTGTACGGAGACGATACAGTGGATGTCAGCACAGGGAGGCGGTGGGTAGTGCGTCTCAACAGTGGCGAAAGTGAAGTGCACGACAATCCACGGCCTGGGCGTCCCTGCTCAGCTGCCACTCCTCACAATGAACAGCGCCTCATCCGTACAGATTGGCAGATAACGACCAGGGAACTGTGTGCACGGCTTAATACCGTCTGTAATGCATTGGAAACCATGCTGGGGAAGCTGGATTATCGCAAAGTTTGTGCCAGGTGGGTCCCGCGGATGCTTACACAGGACCACAAAACTCATCGAATGGAAGTCTGTCAGGACCTGTTGCACCAGTTTGAGGCTGAAGGTGACAAGTTTCTGGACAGCATCGTCACCGGAGATGAGACGTGGTGTCACCACTACGAGCCGGAATCCAAAAGACAGTCCATGGAGTGGCGATATCCGGATTCCCTAAGAAAAAAGAAGTTCAAGACATAGCCATCGGCAGGGGAAGTGATGTGCACGGTCTTTTGGGATAGGCGGGGTGTGATTTTGTTGGATTTTCTGGATCCTGGTAAGACTGTCAATTCTGAACGCTACAAGACGACGCTGACTAAGCTGAAAGCCCGCATTTCCCGAGTCAGGCGAGAGAAGCAGACAACCTTTCGCTTGCAACACGACAACGCTAGACCCCATACCAGTTTGGCGGCCACCGCGCACAATGCAAAGTTTGGCTGGACTATCCTACCACATCCACCTTACAGCCCCGAATTAGCACCTTCAGACTTCCATCTCTTTGGGCCTAAGAAAGATGGACTACGCGGGCAACATTTTCCAGACAACGATGCTGTCATTGCAGCTGTAAGAAAATGGCTAGCCTCTGCTGGCGCAGACTTTTACGGACGCTGCATACAGGCTCTTGTTCATCGCTGGCAAAAGTGCATAACGAATGGTGGTGATTATGTGGAAAATAACTGTAAGTAGCTGAAATCTTGCTCCATTTAATTGCGTTATTATGCTTTCTGTATCTGTTGTAGTTTTCATAAAAAAAATAGGAGGCATTATATAAGGAACGCTCCTCTTATATTAGTGCCTATACAATCAGCTGCCTTCAGCCACAGATTAGAATATCTGTTTTTTGGATAACACTTATAATAGTAACAAGGTTAATGAGTTCAAGTTGTAAAGTACATCAACATCATACAACTCTTCAAATATGACAGCAAATGTTCTGAAAAATGCTCTGTCCTGACAGCTGTCTAGAAATATGTTTGCACTGTTTGTGCAACAAAGCCTCTGCAGTGCAACAAGCAGACATGATCATTCACTATAAGAGCTAGCTCCATTCAGCAGACTCATTCTTAAGATGATAGTCCTTCGACTAATAAGAAACTCCACGCCATTTATGAAGCCCGCCACTGGACCCTATCATGATCCAAAAGAATCCAGTCCACACCCTGACACGAATTCTTTTGTCAGTTTTCAAATTATACTACAAAATACACCTTGGTCTCCCAAGCTGTCTTCCTGTTTTCGTTTTTTAACATTTAAAATTTTGTATACACGTCTTACGACAGCCTCTGTGGTCTAGTGGTCAGAGTTCCGGGTTCTATTCCCGGCACTACCAGAGTTTCCGAGAAGTAGTGGGTCTGAAACGGGGTCCACTCAGACTCGTGAGGATAACTGGGGAGCTATTTCCTTGAAATAGCGGCTCCGGCCTAGAAAACCGAAATTAACGGTCATGGGGATCCATTGCGCTGACCACGCAACACCTTCTATCCGCTAAAGTTGGCACTAACTTTGCCGACAAGTGGCGGTCGCTCGATCGGTATAGTTCGCTTGAGAGCTAAAACCAAGGAGTCTTTTTTACACGTGTATTCCATTCGTGCCACATGCCTCACACTTCCCACCATCCTTGATTTGATCATCCTATTAATATCTGGTACTTACACGCATCAATAGCGACGATTGTGATCGACACTAATACTACAGAACGTCATCTTCAAGAGTCGCACTCAGCTTAACTCAAAAAGCTGTCAGTACAGTGACGACCAATCACCTATGACTGGAGATTGGCCAACTCCAGAAATGTCGTGTAAGTCAATATCAAATGTAGTCCTACTTCAAAAACACAATTAATAAGCGTGGCAACTGATCTTTCTTCAATTTTATTTTCTAGGTCTCTTTCTACCCAAATCTTATATCGGCTACGTGTTTATGATATACTGCACAACAGCCACTTTCTTCCCTCTGAGGGCCCCCAAAAAATTTGTCGGGCTACCAGATTTTCAAAAAATGTTCAACACCTGCCTCTGACAATGGGGCTTTGTCTAACATGATTACAGTGTAATGAATCTACCACTGTCGCAAACCTTTCGTGAATCACTTCTCCGCTTATCTCTTGTCTCGTTCGTTCACCCAGCTTCTTAAATGAATCTCCTATTCCTTATTCTGCTGTTATCAATGTTCAAGCCCTTTGGCCTCTTCGGTTCAGCATAAATTACGAAACTATGACGCTCTTGGACTTGGGGCAGGACTCCTTCAACGAAGGATAAGTCTACGTTACTAACCAACCTCAAGAAACTGAGTCCTTCTTGAGACAATAGATGCTCAGAAACTTAAGACATTCCCAACATTTTATGGAACCCGATTATCCATTAGGCTATACATAACGTAATTCCTTTCAACTGCAGCGACAGATCTCCAAGGATAACCCTGGAATAGAATGTAAACATGTACATGAATCACACACGCTGCTTCTTTTCATCTGAGACTCGTGTCCGGTGCTCACTTGATTTACGATATTTTGATACAGTCTACGAATAAGGGGATCATATGGAATTACGAGGTTCTCTGGCACCCACGCAGTCATCCATTTACCTCCTTTTAGTGAACACAAAGAGTAAATCTGACGATAATTAGCATGTAGAATGGTGTTAACAATGCCTGAATAAGTCTTGTGAGAT